CGTGCCATTATAAAATGCATGAGAGCCATGCCACCGAGAAAACCCTGACACACGAATCCAATATTTTTCAAAAATCCTTGAACCATAATAGCCACCCTTATAGGCGGAGAATTTTCACCCGCGGTACTTCCTCCGTTCTCAACTTTCCTTTCACCTCCAGAATCCCTTGTCTCGTTTATTTTCATAGCACTGAAACCCCCTCTGTGTTGCACGTAAACCTTGTCCGTGCTTAACGTAGGATACGGGGTCTCATGCTCGTACTTAGTTCTCTTGTTCTCTTGTGATCTCCTCAAAATTTCGGTAATCGGTAATTCGTTCTTCTCTGTAAAACAAAAATACTCTCCAGAGTCGTTCGATTCAACGCTGAATATTTTTTAACCTCGTTTCTTTTTTTTTTCTTTAACCTCGAACATTTCGTTTCTTCCTCTTCGATCGTTCCATGTCGCTTTCACCATAGTTCTCTTCTGACGACCCTGAATCAGATGTCTCCTCCTGCTTCTCATTCTCAGACTCTTCAGAACGCCTGTCCGGTCTTCGTTTTACACGACGATTGTGCTTTCCTCCTGTTTGCCTCGCGACGATCCTTTCACGCTGATACTTTTCTTCGCCGACACGCTCTTTGTGTCTCCGAAACCTTTTCGATCCTTTCTCATCGGAGGACGTCTCCTTTTCTGTGTCCTCGTGACCGCGTCGAAACCTGTTGATCTTCTCTAAATCTGACCTTCTAACTCTCAGAGGGGTGCTAGTGTTCTTTACGTGTATAGAATGCTCCGTACTGTACGTGGACGATGAAGTTTCCTCGGTACTGCTCGAATCTCGGTTTCTTCGTGAAACTTCAGCGGTACTCCATCGTCGTGAAATTCTTTCTTTCGATTCGCTCATTTTTTACCATTCCCCAATCGCGTAAAAATGTTCGATCTTTCCGATATCGTTACTAGTGTACATGCTTGGACACGTATACTTCGCTAAATGACACGAGGTAGTATCACACGAGGTAATTTCTTCATAAATAGAAGGAAGTGTATCCATAGTAACGGTTTGTTGTCGTTTGTAATTCACCGTGAGTGGTACTTTGAAAAAATCGATAATTTCAGATAACACGCGGCGCGAACGTTTTATAGGATCCTTATGTGTGATATAGCGATAGGATGAAAAGGTTGACTAAGTGAAAATTTCGAAACAATCGTGAATATTAATTTCGAATTTGTTAATTTTATTTATTTTTGTCTTTAAAGGAGGGCACGCAATACTACATCTATATAAATAGTGTATTAACAGGTCATATTACATCAATATTATTATTAAACATTATTTACAGCAGAACGTATATTCTATTGTCTCCTCGGTATTATTTACTGTAAAAAAACGTTATAAGATTTCCAAATCGCAGTGTCGAATTTCTGGGTGTTTTTTCTGCAAATATTAAAAAAAATCAAATAACAGTGTTTTGAATTGTACAATCAAGAAGTTAGAAATTGACATCTGAAGTATTTTTGCAATACCTTTAGCTTTAACTCCATTCGATCTATCTCTCCACCGATCATATCGACGATAGATTCGCCATGCTTTAACATAAATGTTTCCAATTCGTCCATGCTCTTCATCTCTTGCACTTCCTGGGAAACGACATTATTTTAAAAATAATAATATTTCTTGAACAACCAATCTGTTACCTTCAACATGTCGGCAAGATCGTTTTTCTCCAAGTAAAGTCTTGTTAATTCTCTTCCGTCGAAGTCTATTTCAGCTTTATACCGAACTAAATTATTGCCCATATCGATACCTTTAACATCGTAAATTGCTCGAACCTAGTTGAAATATGAAAATACAACTGTTTATACAAATATATCTATTAATGTAGACAAAAAAAAAAACTATTACCATTATATCTGCTTCTAATTCCGTGTTCATCGTATCAAGATCTTCCTGAGATATACTTCTTCCAATCAAAGCAGCAGCATTTGTATGTATTATAAAACCTGCTACAGCACCAAGCAGGCCACCAACTACAAGAGATCCAAGAGAGTCGTACATTGGATTTTGCGTGTAAGAACTTAAACCCATGCAGATAGCTGCAGCAAAAATACTAACTACCTGTCGAATTGAAAACATTTAATATTTAACAATAGCAATTGTGATATCAATTTCTTCTTAGTTTTTATTTATCAAATACTCGCCGCTGTTAAGTCTTCCATAAGAACAACAATTACAGAAGGATCATGACCCCCTAATACATATTCTTTAAAAGTCCGTTTCTTTTCTTCTGCCCCTTTTTTAATCGATTGTATTGCTACTAATAACGTTGCTCCCTCGGATGCCAAGGAACCAGCTAAGATAAAATACGCCCAGTAGAACGATTCTATTGGCATAGGATAAAGAAGACCGTGAATTCCGTGATAAATCGACAGACCAGTTCCAACGCAAAATATACCAACACCGGATATTAAAGAGGAAACGTATCTCATATTCGTATAACCATACGGATGATCGGGATTAGGATTCTAAAATATTTGAAATTAATATGAATATCGGAAGACGTTTTATCTTAGTTTCACACGATGTAATGGATACGCACCTGAATTGATTTATGAATACCGTACGCTAATATCAGTTGATTACATGTATCCGCGGCAGAGTGTATACACTCTGAAAACATACTATGCGAACCCGTATACATCCACGCGCATAGCTTGAATAAGAAATTACTAGCATTGCTGAAGAAAGAATTAAAAATTAGGATTATAGATTCGTATTTAATACATGGATTACAAAATTTCTTCAAATAAAAATGAGAAGATGGAACTCACATTGCAATAGCAGTTAGAACTACTTTGCCAGATCTTCCAAAAAGACCTTCCCCTTCGATAAAGTCCGCTTTGCTACCCATTTCACGTCTATAATCCCTCAACCTCCGTTTGACAGTGAATATGTCTATAAAATGATAAAATTTAAATGTATATTAAATACGAATTTTACATAGTACAAGAAGAAAATGTTATCCTTACTTTGCTGATACATTTTCTGTTCAAGTTCTTTCTTAAATAGTTCTCTATTTAAAGCTTCTCGTGAACCCCAAACTTCTAGTGCTCTAAAAGTAAATAGAACACCTTGTACATGATCACATCAATTTTACTATAATAGCAGTTGTTTCATTCTCACTTGAAACCCATAGTCTTACTTAGCTTCCACGTCCTTTCTCCAATAAACAGTTATCGGAGGTTCAAATTCATATGGAGATCTTCTTTTTGTCTTTGGTAGGTTTTCAAGATCAGAGGGTTTCAACAAAAAATCAGACATAGCTCTAACTGGGGTAATAAAATTACGTTCCAAAGATGATGAACTTTTCTCCATCTTTTTACTTTTCTTTTTGACTGCAAGTAAAAAATATATACAACAGTAGCATTAACAAACATTAACAAGAATTTAAAAATTAAATAAAATCAATGAAAAACAAAATCTTAGCTGAAGAACCTTCTGTACCTTCTGCTTTTGAAGCTTGTTGACTTTCTGTCTTATCCTGACTACCACTAAGTTTAACATCTAACTTTTGCTCTTTTAACTGTCCTAAGTTTTCTCCTTTTAATTCTATTATTGTTTGTTGTACACCATCTCCTGACTTGTTGCCTAGATCACCTGACTCTTCTTTTTGTACTTTTGTAATGACAGAAATTGGCCTGGTCGTAGTGACAAAAACACACCTCCATCTCGCTGGATGTTCTCCTGTTTTTGCACCAAACATCTTTTGAGGATTTGCAACAATATGTAACTTGCATCTTGTATTGTGGTTGCATGTTATCAAAGTACTGGCATGTCTTCTTATATATCCTACTTGAAAAATGTATAAACAGTGTTTGTTGTAACGATTAATGGTATGCAAAACTCTCAGAAGGTTAGGAGCTCGTTGTAACATGTTTCAATAGTTGATCTGCCAGGTGTTATTGTAAGGCACAATCTATTAGAACCCGTGAACCGCCTAACCTATTAAAAAATATGTAACATTTAGGTACCTTTGCACATAATGTTTTATTTTTATAAAATATTGCTATAGGAAATGCTTCTTTTTTTACAAGATAAAATAATGGAACTATTAAAATTCAAATCTTTCCTAAAAAATTGCCACGCACTTAAAAACAAAACACATTTCGCAAAATCTCATTACCTTCTTTCACGTTCACTTATTTCATAGAATGGAATACATTTTTAGCGATATTATATAAAATTTATTGTTTGATATCAAATTATTTCTAAACAAATGTTCCGGTGAATTCCCCTCGAACTGTCAAAAAGATAGTCAACTACTGCAGTATCGGCGAGGGGCATCAATATAATCGACGATAAAAATATTGTGTTTTTATATAGTCATTCATGCTTACACTTGTTCAATTTTTCACCACTGTTATAACGTGCAAAACTCTTGCATAAGTTAATCGTTAATTACATTAAGACTAAAAATTAAGACTACATATATTGTTATATTAGTATATACTGTAGGAAATATATAGGAAAGATATTGCTGCTTTCATTCAATTATGTATAATTATTTCAATAATAGCAAATTATTTTTATTTTTATACATTTCTATTTAAATGGCAGTGATATTGTAATTTCCTATACATATAACTAATAATAGAAATTTATTTCACTTACAATTAGATTTAAGATTCACACTGATATATATTCATGCATGTAATTTATGTTCATAAGCACGTACGCACATAATTACATATATTTCGTTTGTAATATTTTTATTTCTATTCGTACATCGTGAACAAATTTTATACTTTTAATATCGCAAATTTATTGAAAAATGCACTAGGAAATATTAGTTGGTAACATTTCATTGCAACTGGCTCATTATCAGATGAGTATAGTGGCGTGGTACCTTTTTGCGATGTGTATGTATCTTCTGTACTTGTCAAACAGACAGTAAGAGGTGCAAAGGGAATAATTATGGATGGAACTCATCAAACAAAGGCGAGTGATTCGCAGTTTATTTCATTTCAAGATTTTCCATCGATACATCATGAGGGAGATACTGGTCAGGCACAATTGAATATCAATACTTCCAGTCATCAAGGTTTTAATAACCTCACAAATGATCCAACGGGACTTGGTATTATCGAAGATCTTCAGGGAATGCCCGATAAAACTGAAGGTTTATGTTTTTACGATCTTTTGTTTAAACTTAAATAATTATTTAATTAACGCTGTCATTCTAGTGGTAAAATAAGTATTACAATTTAAACTATCAGGTGTTTATACAGAACCATCTTCTTTTTTCTCTTTTAGCATCAACACAGCGCAATTTTTGGACGATAGAATATTATCAGAAATACTTTAACGTGAATACAAACGATGTTGTGGAAAGAATCAAAAGATCTATGTTTCCACATGGCACTGAGAATTATTTAATATCTCATATCAGACCAAATCCAGATCTATATGGTCCATTCTGGATTTGTGTCACGTTAATATTTTCTATAGCCATTTGTGTAAATCTGGGTAGTTATTTGCAAATGTTTAAATTGCCTGCAAATAACGGAGTCAAATATCACTGGAAGTATGAATTTCATATTGTATCTTATGCTGCAACTTGTATATTTTTGTATGCGTGGTTAGTACCACTCACATTATGGGGTGCACTGAAGTGGACTGCTAGCACAAGAGACACAGAGGAAGAATTAATAGAGGTGTGATAGTATCTGTTGTCTTTACTGAAAGGTATTTGTGTAATAATGTATTAATAAGGAAACATCTTCATTTCAGTCTTACACATCACCTGGACTTTTGGAACTTTTATGTGTTTATGGTTACTCTTTAGCAATCTATGTTCCAATAGCTTTTTTCTGGACAATACCAATTGAATGGCTACAATGGGGCTTAGTTTTAATAGGAACTTTTTTATCTGGTGGAGTATTATTGAGATCTTTGTTGCCTGTAATAGCAGGTATTACATATAAAAAATAAAGTCTAAAATAAAGTTCATACAAGAATGAGAATAAGCTAATGGAAAAAATACATTTTTAGGAAGATATAGGATAATATATATTGTGATAATTCTTGGAATGCATCTTTTGCTGGGTGCTGGATTTATAGCTGCTGGATATTTCTATCAGGTGCCATTAAAGAGCCATTACGTGAGCCACTAAAAAATATTTCGGAATAAACAAGTCAGACGCAAAGCTTTATATAATTCTACGGGCTAATGATATTTTCGATCCTGATGCATTTTGAATGCATTTTAAAACCGAATTGTCGGGTTTGCTGACAGCTATACGTATTCCAGTAAACACAGACTGATAAGATCAAGTGGGACGAATCGCACATTTCTGTTGAGCGTTAATTCCGTCTTCATACAAGTAGATGTAGTATTTATACTATACCTGTGAACGAAAAAAATAAATGAAAATAACTGAAATTTGTGACATTTGAGGCACTAGTGTTTATTAAAAACATTTCATTCGACCCATATCAAGTATATTCCTGTGTGTCAGGGCAATATAGAAGGCCAACAAAGTGTCTGGTTGATTTATTTTCACAGCCCCCCTTTTAATGTAGGGACGCGTTACATATCAACGCAACACATATCATTTACAATCATACGAACCTCCATGTTGTACACAGTTATTGTTATTAGTACTCGTAATACAATAGATAGTAATTGTTATTAGTCGTCGTTAATACAATCGTACGTGATTCCTTAATATTTTTTTCTTTTCATTCGTTTATGATTAACCAATGTGACAAAAGGCAACATTTATTTTGTAGTAGTATCGTTACGTTATTATCATCGATCTATCAATATATACCATGACAGTAGTAATTTGCTTGCCGTTTAATGTTATTACATAGACAATGCGACATTACTGGCGTATTGACGAATAAGTTTCCAATTGATCACGGATCGCTTTGCTAAATTTGTATTTTTCGTTTTGCCTCGTGAAGGCGATTCGTTTCGTCTTCACTGGGGGCACATTTTATCAAGAAAGAAACGAGTAGTGCGTTTGAAAAGCTAGTTTCGCCCTAAGAATGTTCATTTATTTTTTTTCTCTACTAAACGGTACGTCGCGATTTCGCGTTTGGACCTAATTGCAAAGTTAAAAAGGTTTCTCCTTTTTCTTTTTACGACTTTCGGTTCAAAAAGTGTGCCAACACGATAATCTCGTAAAAGTCCATCAAGCGCTTCGCAAGAGATAACACGACAGTAAAATTTAGCAAACGTCTCGAGGTCTACGAAGTCTTCCGTTTTGCAAGCCTTGTCGATGTGAGCGTTGCGTGTACAAAATACGAAAAAAGTTCGAGCAGAGCTTGACTCCTTTTGTATCAAAGAGAAGTAAAGCCGTCTCTCGTAGCCTGTATTCTCGTCCACTTTAGTCCAATCTTTTTTTTTTTTTTCAATTTGTTTCATGCCGATTAATGAAAATCAGATTCGCGATATAATAACTCGATGACGATAGGGGATACTCATTGACACGAATTAGCCCGATGATAATCGAACGTGAATATTGGCGCAAAAAGTTAATGCTGTGTCTCTTAGACGAGTTACCCTCGAGTATCGATTCTCTCGTTTCGTTCGATACTTAGATCACTGATAGAAATGAAACGGTTAGCAGCACACTTTTGTTTGTTAGAACGTAGTATGAAATGACGGTAAGATATAGGCGCAAAGATCACGGAAAAGACCGTGCACGGTCAATGACGTTTTTTTTTTTAATATTGTAAAACGATAAACACTTACTTTTTATTGTGGATTAATTTTTCTTCGCTTGGACATTTGGTATCCTCGACAATACAAGCTACCAGAATTTCTGTCGAGTGTGTACGTGTGTGTGCGTGTGTGTGTGTAACCCAGTTAAAGCGTTTCGACGACCACGAAACCGTCGGAACGATATCTCTACAATTTACAGCTAGAGCTCACAACGACTTGGTCCAACGTGTTTTACAAGATAATTACAGTCAAAGATTGCGAATAGGCAGGAGCAATAATAACGAGTAATAAATCTACGACAGTCTACTTAGTTACTTGTTTTCTTTTCTCTTTCTTTCTCTTTTTTTTCTCATCGAGGTGTTTACACGCAAACGCTACTTCGTCTCGCTTTTTTTTCCCATTTTCTTTCAATCGAGTCTTGCGATTCTCAACGCGTTCGTACTGAACGTCGCAGCGTGTCGAACGAATTGAGAAACGGTTCCGTATAATAGTTCTTATTACTGTTATTTACAATAAGATGTGTCGCTGGGCATGTCTATCGTTAATTACTAATATTAATATTATCATATATAATGTACAATTTTCCTCTTTCTATTTTCGTAAGTGCAAACACGCATTACTATTACAGAGACATACGGGAGCTTCGGGGCACTCCTTTTAAATAATTACACATAGATAATAGTAATGTTTACCCTGGTTTTATCAATTATTACAAGTATTACGCATGGTATAATATATCTGTATGCATATATATTTCATATATATATATACACACACACATATATATATAACAATGCTCATAAATGTACTCTTTATACAATCGTTGACTATTATCCTCTACCATGTTACGCAGTATTGCAATAATTTCAGGTTGATTATTCAGTCGCATGCTTAGATAGTACGAAATCCATTTTTTACTTTTCTTTTTTATGCTGAACTCGTTTGCTTCTTCGAATGTTCTATTCGCGATAAACGGAACGTTAGACGACACTGTACGTCGAACAAATTTAACTGAAAAAAAAAAAAAAAAAAAAAAAAAAAAAACTACGTATCCTCGGAAGATTTTTATTCATTTATTTATTTCTTTCTCCTCGACAAAAATGCACACCTAAAAATGAATCAGATTTTTCAACGACACGGGAAAAACGTGTTATGTTTCTTTCTTTCTTTTCTTTCCTATTCGTTTTCCTCTCGATTCTTTCGTGGAAAAAGCTGCCAAAATAACTCTATTACAATTATCGTATCTCAAAGTTTCCTGCGTTTTTGTTTACATTTTTTGTGTGTATATATGTATGTACTCGTACTTCGCGTCCAAGGATACTATGAACTGTTTTCCGCGTTGAGCCAATTTCTTTATCGTCGAACAAGGAGGAACGTTATTTTATCGCGATGGACAGAAGCGTGGATTATTCGGAAAGTCTGGTAACTATTTACCGGCTTGTCTAATACCGCATTGTAACATTGGCTAACCACTCGGTTAATTACTTAGGATGGTGCGTTTCGCAATTAAAAAACAGTCCCGCCTTCTTAGCACGTTTGCGAGGAACTTCTACTCTTTGTTGTACTATCTAGGTGAATGGTTTTAGTTATTTATTTATTTATTCTTTTTTGTTTAAAGAGAAACTAAGAACGAGAACGAACGAAGAAAGGAGAGAAATAGAATAATCGTTTTGTTTCGTTTCTCGAGAGATTTTTCTTTCTTTTTTTTTTCTGAGAAGAATTTTCGTATCGACGACCATGATTATTTGATATGTTCTTTTTTTCATTTCCTTTTCTCTTCAAAGAGGAATTACGTTGTTCAACCCGAAAAGCAACTAACTCTCGATGATCGATTTTGTTGTTTCTTTTCTTCTTTTTGTTTCAGATATACGAAATTAGCAACGTGTTATAATTTGGTTTTTAAGAAGAAGGCCTACACGTTTTCTGCAAAATCCACTTTAATGCGAGTTCATAATTTTCACCGGTCAATCGTCTTACCATAGCTCTCTGGAAGATAACGTTAGTCCGTTTTTGGTCGGTTACTTAGGACAGGTAATTAATCTTAGCGTCTAACACGATCGAAAAGTTCTACGAGAAACTTACGCTGTCGACGAACGAGTAGTTACACGGAGGTTACTACTTTACTCGGTACAAGTGTATGTATGCGTGTGCTCGTGTGTATCAATGTGTTTCTGCGCTACGAAAACCTTCTTGCACTCTATTATCATTTATCGTACAATTACAATTCGCTCTAACGTACTCTACGGAGCTTCCCAGTAAAAATCTACCGCTACACGTGTCCGTTTTATTTTATTTTATTTTATTTTCTTTTTTCTCGTGCGTTCAACCATTACGTAAAAAACGTACCGCGCTAAAAGCATAATTACACGTATGCATATATATACACATATATGTATACATATACGTTATTCATATATTTATAGAGTAGAGAAGAAACAGGTCGCGAACAAGACACGCGTTCTCATATTCGTTCGAATTTTCCAAAGAGAGAGAGAGAATTCATTGGCGTTGGCTCGCTGAATTCGATGCAAAGTTATAAAAAAAGGGACGTTACGTTTCTCGCTCCGACTCCCCCTCCACATTCCTCTGCGCGAGTTTGTTTTCATCTACGGCTTAGAAGACAACACGAACGCGGTTTCTTTTTTTTTTTTTTACTTTTTTGATCGTATCTTGTGTTTTTTTTTTCTATTTTTTTATCTCCGTTTTTTGTCCCCGTACGGGGTGTTGCTTTGATTGCAGGCTTAAGTGATAACAGGTACGTAATTACACACACGTAGTGAACTTTTTTTTTTTTCTTTCTCGTTTCTATTCTCGAAAAAGACTTCATCGCCGGAGCTGCTGCGTGCTATAGAACTTTTGGAATGATTTGGTGTGTATTGTCGAAAGAAAAATTCGATATCGACCGGGAGTTTTCTTTAATTTTTCGATCATTTTCTGCTTTCGAATACCACATAAGCTAATACTCGCGACTGTATTGATATACGATATCTTTTCCTGCTGTAACGCGAGACACGGACTGAGAATAGAAACAAAAGGAGAAAAAAAATATGTGCAGAACGTAGAACTGGAAATGTCGACGGTCGATACGCGATGTTTGGTTTCCTTGAAATCGTGTGACTGTGGAGATGAAACTTTGCGACGTGTGGGTTCGTTTCGTGCGCGCACGGAAGCCATGAAAAACACAGACGACGTGGATATGACCTTCGTATGTACGTCGACGAAACAACGAAGTAAATAGAGGGACAAACGTTTTCCAACGCGAAATAACAATACAGCCGTGAAAAAGACAGCTTAAACTCAGTTGAAAAAAAAGTATCCAAGCGGAATTACAAGGACATCTTGTATTTTATTAAACAATTGAAAACACAGTGACGCCCTGTACCGCTGCGTGTACCTCTCTCTTTATTTCTCTGTCCTTTTATTTTTTCTTTTTCTTTTTTTTTCATTATTCCTGTTTCATTTTTTTTTTTTTAGCTTTCAACTTGTTCAGGTTT